CTGAGGTCTGACTGTGTGCCCTGCAGATTCTAGAACATCAGGGAGACGGTCTTGAGAGGGGGCAGGCTGAGGTCTGACTGTGTGCCCTGCAGATTCCAGAACACCAGGGAGACAGTCTCAAGAAGGGGCGGGCTGAGGTCTGACTGTGTGCCCCTGCAGATTCCAGAACACCAGGGAGATGTTCTTGAGAAGGGGCGGGCTGAGGTCTGACTGTATGCCCTGCTGATTCCAGAACACCAGAGAGACAGTCTTGAAAGGGGATGGGCTGAGGTCTGACTGTGTGCCCTGCTGATTCTAGAAAGACATGGGGATGGAGTCAAGAGGCTCAGGTTTCTGTTGGTGCCATTGTGTGCTGGCAGCAGGGAGGGCATTCCTCCGGATGACAGTGGGTTCCTGTGTTGTTGTTGGTTCCTGTTTTTAGGGACTTTGGGTTAGAATTAGTTCAGGGAAGAACATCTCGTGACTGTTCTTTTCTAGCTCTCTCCTCCCCTCACTCACAGAGAGCCAGAGATGTGATGCCGCCCTTTTCTGACACAAATCACAAGCACAGTTCAGATCGCAAGACTTACTCAAAAACCTGCTTCCAAATGAAGCTGAGGGGCTGGGGCATGTTTCATTGATCTGTTACTGTGTTTGTTGTATATTGTTTTGTTTGGCTCGGGGTCCAACTTACTGACTTGACCCTGCGAAGGCAGTAAACATGTGTGAGTCAGGTGCTCGTCTCTGATCCTTGACACCAGCAGGCCATCGCACACTTCAGTTCATTCCTGACACTAACCGCCAGAAGGAAGCAGTGCACACCCCCAGCTTCCGGACTCAGTCTCACACAGTGCCCTCGCCTCCAGTGCCATCCGAAACTGGGGTGTGCATGCCACCCACCTTCCTGCCTAGCCAGCTACAAATTTGGGGGCGTTCTTAGGCCCCTTTTGTCTGTTTCAGTAATTCACTAGAATGAGTCACAGCACTCAGGGAAACATTTTACATGTGTTTTCTGATTTATTATGAAGGCTACAACTCAGGAGCAGCCCCGTGGAAGGGATGCTTAGGGCAAGGCATGGGTGGCTGGGGGCATGGAGCTCCCATGCCCTCCCGGTGCCCCTGTCCCAGCTTCTCAATGTGTCCCTCAACCCAGAAGCTCTGAGAACCTCATTCTTGAGAGGTCTGACTAAAGGTTTCATTACGTAGGCGTTATTCATTAAGTCATTGCCCACTGGTGACTAAATCACTGCGTCTGGAGGTCGGCGTTAGGGCTGGAAGTCTGGTCCTCTCAGTGTGTCTTGGTCTTTCTGGAACCCATCCCAAAGCTATGTAAGCAATCTCGGATGGTCACGTGATTAGCAGAAACTCACGAATGGGGCTCATCACGAATAACAAAAGATAGCTCCAAGATCGCTCAAGAAATTCCAAGGGTTTTAGGACTTTTATGCCAGGAGCCAGTGACCGAGACCAAACATACGTTTTTTTAATAACATCACTGCCGTAAGGGATCGTTGAGTGATAGCAGTACCATTGACAGTGTGTCAGTACACATACTCGGGCTGGTTCGAATCTCTGCCAGCTCGATGGCAGCTGTACGATGAGGGACGAGCCCCCAGTCGCCGGGCCCCTGAGCCATAGAGTGAAAGAGGAGCCCCTTTCCAGGGCTGCCGGCACAGATGTGGGGTGCAGCGTGTATTGGGGCATCGATATGCCCGCATGCTTGGCATCCTCCTACAAATTCCACGGGAATGTCTTCTTTTTCCTAAGAACCTTGCTTCCTGAAGTGCTCTGTACCTTCAGATGGTGAAGCCCTCCTGCTAGGAAAGCCATTTTCCTTGTTGGGTGCACGTTGCTATTGATTCACAAGTGACATGAAGCTGCCACGCTGCACAGACTGGTTCCCAGAGCCGTTCAGAGTCTGCAGGCACCTACTTTCAGTAGGATCTGAAGGAGCTGATAAAGATTACCTAGGATATTGGCCCTCACATGAGCTGCTTGTATGGTGGAGGCCATTAAGGGGAAAACATATTACATCTCTTCCCATGATAGCCATCCTTCCTTTGAAAAGCACCGTATCAATGGAAACGTGGCAGGAGATGTTAAATCTTGAAGCCATTGTATTTTGCTCAGTGGTTGTGAGAGACAAACGTGTTTTATTTATTTATTTATTTATTTATTTATTTATTTTTAAGATTTTATTTATTTGTGAGAGAGAGAATGAGAGACAGAGAGCACGAGAGGGAGGAGGGTCAGAGGGAGAAGCCGACTCCCCGCTGAGCAGGGAGCCCGATGTGGGACTCGATCCCAGGACTCCAGGATCATGACCTGAGCCGAAGGCTGTCGTTTAAACAACTGAGCCACCCAGGCGCCCAAACAAACGTGTTTTAAAGCATGTGGGGAAACAGAGTTTATAGGGAAAGCACACGCTCGCCCTCATACCCGCTTTGCATGAGGCCATTTGCAGTGACACCATGCACAGCGAAGACACAGCTGCATAGTGAACACAGAGCTCCAGAGCTCCCATATTGTCTGTATATCCCCATGTTCTTCTCACTGATAATATTTGTTTTAAACTTGTCAAAGAAAAACAAGCAGTTGCATATCTTAACAGTAATTTAGCTCATAAAGTGTTCTAGACATTACCCTTGTTGCTAATCCATGTTTATTTATGCGTGCATTTGTCTTGCAGAAATGAAACCTTTCTCGTCATGTTTCTTAGGCAAATATAGTCAAGGCTTTTGGGGTTTCTCGTCGGGTGATCTGCATGTGGTAACACTAAAGGAAGTTTTGAACAGGCTCCTTGTTGTGGACACACCCTTAATTTTGTGCTTGGATTCTTTTTTCTACCTCATACGTGAAGCACTTGCCAAGAGGGTTGTTGGAATAGGAGAAGGTTCTTTGAACATGTCCCACTGCTTTCTCTTTGATGCAGCGCTAGCCGGAAGAGAAGCGTGCTTGCCAAGTTCAAGGGCATTTCCTATGATTATTAAGTCGCTGGAGAGATTCACAGTTGCCAGCGGGAATTTATTACGCTGTGGGTGTCATCCAATTAATTACGTACAGTGGTAGTAATACAGAGGAGGACAAAACAAACAGTGTCACAGGAAGAAATCATGTCAAAGTGTTAGTTACCATTTTTCCAGGAGAAGATGCCTAACAGCGCTCACATGAAACACGTTCTCACGGAAACGATTACTTCGACGCTATATGCATTTGTCATTCTTTGGTGCTAAAAATAAGCAAAAGTGGTGCCGTCTCCAACAAGTCCCCTGAACCCATCCTCAGCACTCACGAGCACTCACTGAGTGCCTGCCGTGTGCCAAGGAGGCGTACGGCAGGTGTGAGCCGTGCCCAGGTGGTCCGAGAGCACGCGCTTCTGCGGCCTTGCAGGCGTGAGCGGCCAGGCCCCGCGCCACCAGGCGGGTTGGGGGTCAAGCTGGGAGTCACCCCCAGGTCCTCGGGGTGTGTGAGTTCTCCATTCACTGCTCTGGTGCGAAGTAAAAGGGATGATGGCGTCATGGACACGGGACATGGGTTGACTTTTATTACAAGTCAATGCTGAAGTCCGTTCCAGGAAGCATGGTCGTTACTACTGGGCTGTTTTAGCTTTCTTGTTAAGAACTGAGTTTCAAGGTTTTTTGTTTATTCCTCTTTTATTTTCTTTTGTTTTTAAGAAAGTTCTGCAAATTAAGCATTTATACACCTAAAGAGTAAAAAAAAAAAAAGAATGATAAAGCCGTTATCGTTGGTGAGTTCTAATTGTATAACGTCTTCCTGGTAAAACTAAGACCATTCTCTCAATTACAGGAGGAATCACCCGAGTTGACTTTTCAATGTGGGAAAAGGGCAGTTAATATATTTTACCTGACCT